CCATTTATCATTGATTTTTGAGAGGTCATCTTTCAGTTCTTTAAAGTCTTCATTTGACAGAACCAAGGCAGGCTTTGCCTCTGACTCATTTGTTGAGAGAAGAGAAGCAGGTTGGCCATCATTATGTTCATTGTTGTGTTGTGATGTTGACTTCTGTAAATCAAGCGGTGGGTTATCTGTAGACACATTGATGCTAAGCAATTCAAGTGGAATATCTTCTAAATCTTGGGCAATATCCAGACTCTCTTTCGATGCTGATTTCCCCATCTTATCCTTGTCACAAATTTCTTTGTGGCTGAGAAACTTCTGTGCTGTTCGGGGTATATTTACAGAGTAACTGCTAAGGATGTCTCTCTGTGTATCACTTCTGTTTGTGGTTGGATTGCTCCCAACAGATGTGTCTGCTTGATTACATGTCTTGAATTCCCCTATGATCCTTGACTTTGGGAGTTTACATACCGTGTTCCAGAACTGCTTTTGAAGCTCCAAGATGGTCTGTGGATGTCCATTCCAAGTCTGAACAAGTTTCATGAACTGTCCATCAAAGCAAGAAACAGGTATATGAATGCCTTGTCTGTGGCAATACTGGAGAAACTCTTCAAGAATATTTCCAACGACACAGATTGGTAGACTGTATCCTCGAAGGAAATAGCCAATGGGTACACCATGTACTTGATCTTTGGACCACATCCTGTCTAAGTCACCTGCCACAAAAGTAACAACTTCCGTAGCTTTGTGTCTTGTAGCTTGGAATTGTTTGCGGATGATAAGCAAACTTTCTTCACAGATTTCATTCACCTGTTCATGAAGTGGAAGTTTATCTTGATTGGAATTTGTTAATCTTTGCCTTGATGGTTGATAGTCCATGTTTGGTTCACAAGCATGTAGGGACTTGACTTCACATATCAAGCTGCAATGTGCCTTGACTCCACTCTTAATGTGATCTTTGAGAGCTTTTACTGATGGCGTCAACTTTGACGGACATGTCTTAATGTCTGTTCCAAACGTTGAGGCAAGAATATCCAATGTCATTTCCCACACATCATTGTCAAAAGAAATTTGCATTACACGGGTTGTTTCTTCAGTCCATGTAATGAAGATACAGTTGTCTACATGTAGTGCCACCATTTCAGCTTGCACTTGGAGGTAGTACCTTTCAGGAATATCAGTTGGCAGGACTCCAGAATAGGGACATTTAATCTCGATTGCTGCCACAGGAACATTTGTATTCTTTTCGTTCAGGACTCCATCTGGTGAAATTATCAGAGACAAATTTTCAGTTGAGAAGGAAATTCCTCCAACCTCCTTGACAATGTGACCAGGAAAGAAAATTGGTAGTACCTTGTAACAAAATGTTGTCATTGCACATGCTTCATGTTTTCGTCCATGTTCCATAGCTTTCTGCACATGGTCTGATACTGGAGCTTGCTCTCTACCATTTCTCTCCATGAAGTACTCCTTTTGCCGTTTCAAACCTGCACAACCTGTTGCCTCAAACAGCTTACTTCCTGTAGCAGAGGCAACCTTACGAGCCTCAAACCACTTGTCTGAACCTTGTTTCAAATTTTCTTCATCATCTTCATCATCAGGTAGAAATGCATACGATCTGCAGTATTTGAGAGGCATTAAGTGTTGACATGGCCATATATATTGGTTAAAAGACGATCCAATTTCCATGATCCTTTCCCTCAAGTCATCATTCCTCTTGTTGAGGTCTCGCAGTTCTAATAATAGCGCCGTCAACATGCTGATTGCATATGCAAACCGTGACTTGGTGTAGTCTTCCCCTCCTTGCTTCTTTAATTTCTCAATGGAATACATTTTCCTTTTGATAACACCATCAAGCTCCATCTTCTTCTTGGAAAGAACTGTTGAGGCATTTTTAAGATTTGTGGAAAAATCTTCTGGTTGGGCTAGCTTGGTCAAACAAAGAAGGTCAGCCTTGTGATTTTCTTGCAGTTTTTCTACTGACTCTCCATTTGGTTCATGTCCAAGCAAATTGACATCACCTTTGTCATTTTTTAATCCAGGGGCCAGTTTTTTACCATCAAATGCCAGACAAACACTTGTCTGATGATGTTTTTCTTTGACTCTTTCTACAATTTCACTGCTGATACCCGGTGGAATTTGTCTTGGCCAGTTTCCTCCATATGGATCAAATGATTTCAGCACTTCTTCTGATGGAATGGCAAGAATCATATCAGATTCTTTCCCTGAAAGACGTCCAGGTTTGGATTGTCCTGACAAAATGCTCCCTGTCATCTTCCATCCCGAAAGTGCTCTAATTGGCGCACCCCCGAATTTGTCAATGAAGAACTTCCAAAACAATTTACTCTTCTCAGAAAATCTCACTTCTGTAAGAGACTGTGATGAAATGGCATTGATGGTGTCCAAAAATAAATCAAAAGTTAAACTTTCCAAATCAAATTTGTCATTGCAGATAATTTCCATTAACTTCAACACTATGTCAGCTTTTCCATTTTCAGCCAGTTTTGGGGAACAACTTTTTAGAAGCTTTCTTACTGATTCTTCCTCATTTTCCCCTTGGTCATTCACATCATTGACAGTACCACATTTGGGACACACATAGCCTTGTTCCAAGTCACCATGAGAGTGAATAGAAATGTCTGACACAAAACTAATTTCAAGTGTAGATTTTCCGCAACCAGCACACAATGACACCCCATCATGCGTTCTGTCACAAACCAGAGAAGTATCAATGGAAACACTTGTGCCTCCTTCACATTCTCTTGTATTATTCACTGGGGAAGCTGTTGGAAATAAGACTCTTCCTCCTATCCTTCTGGGTGTACTGTGCACAGGACGAACTCTTTTCTTATCCGAACTGGACTGTACTGGTGAAGCTTTCCTCTTTGAGCCAGGGGTTGATTTCATTATCTAGAATAAATACACAAACATTAACAATTTCTGTGTCAGTATGAAAATACACATCATCTTTTTTACTAATTGCTTCAACGTGGTCACTAAATTTAGTTTCATAACAATATCATGCCCATATCACTTTATATTGGTAATTTTACCATTCACTTATTTTAACTGCTTAGATAATTATTTAACTAAGTAAAGTAATTAACAACAGCTCCATAGACTTGCCTTTGAAATACACTCTCAATGTGTGAAGTCAAACCCCAAATATTGTGAAATGTATGTGAAAATACATCTTTCTTAATTCAAAACTTAACCAAAACCGAGGGTTAGGCCTAATCAAAGTCAGTCCCAAATAAAAACTGCTTACGAAATCTTGTGGAGACTTTGCCAGCAGCCATCATGTTCAGTTGAGGCGATACTGAGCCAGCGAGATAACGAACATAATAGGAAACAGACTATAAAAAATAAGTACCGAAAGCGGGCCTACACTTCACTAAAAGTTGCAAATGATGTATTTTCTAGACTCTAAGTACGTAGACTGGACACTACAACCCCAAAAAGCCCAATGACTATATCATAAAATAGAAAACTGTCTACTTTCTCAGTGACAACACGGGTCAAACGACCCGCCGAATTCAACAATGTCACCGCCTGCATACTTTCACGAACCATATTCTAATAATCTGTCGACTAACATGACACGTAGTCGCGAGTCAAACAAATATGGATAGTCATAGAATTAACAAGTCAACTTGAGTTGCTAAAATAACATTTCGTTTATGAGTTATACAAGAAAAAACTTACCTTGACAGCATTAGCTATGTGGCGTGTTTTGCTTCCGCTTGGGTTACTGCGCATGTGCAGTCGGCGTGATGCACTTCGAGTCTTTCGGAACGCGTCCTCGATTCTTTAAAGTTGCAGATCGTCGTATTTTTATGCAGTTTCTATGCTTTCGATTCCGCATCGCTATGTTTGTATGCACATTCGCGTCTTAATGTGTACATTTCTATGCTTTCCCTCGCAATTCGGTTTTTTCTTTGGTAGGCCTGGTCATGTGGCCTCAAATACTGAATAAACTTCTTCTTCTTCTTCTTTTCCTATTTTTGTATAATGTTCGTACCTCTTCCATGGCGTCCCCCACCGTAATGTTGTGCAATATTACCTGACACCATGTACCCTATTATGCTGATATAATTATGGAATATATCCAGCATACTTGCCTTAACTATACAGTCAACATTGATTAAATAATCACACTATATGCAAACATAACCCGCAGCTATGTACATGATGATCAGCAGTTAGAAGAAACAACATTCCACTAAGCTAGAGCTAATGTAGATTCACGTCGTCTGTGTGTAAAACAGCACACAGTCATCATCCGAAATTGTAGTGCATCGAATCTTGCCAACAAACCTAATCTTGTTTAAGATGGGATATGTAGAGAATAAGTTATGTCAAGTTTGTAAAACTGCACCAGAAAGCGGATTTCATATCTCTTACACGGTCCAGTATCTAGAATTATATGGAATCAAATTGTCAACTGGATAAGAACAAGAAACGATATCACATTAAGAAAATCATATTTGTATTTTCTGAAAAAGGAACGGTGTCCTTTATCTCCTGATAACAGTTGTCAAATTTACTCTTTTTAAAATACGAATATATACATGTGCGCCAGGTTTCGATATGATCAGAGAGGAAATAGGTAAAGTTGACAATATCGAGCGAACACATGCCATCTCTTCTTGTAATTTTACCAAATTTGTTGGATTCTGGTCTGATGGCCATCAATAATTGTTTGATCGATATTAACATAGAATTTGCTTATTTTGTTGCAATGCCACCTCTTATAATATACTTGTCAATATGAGATATCGCCAAGATCTTTATACAAACGCATAGGTTATACTGATGCCATGAGTTTGTACCTAAAAAGATGAATAAAAACATGTGTGTATTTTTGTGCGTCTTCCTAATGCAAACAAACAATACATTACTGTTTTGTAATCTCCCATTCAGGGAGGAATTATATCCCATTTTTAAAAGAAAACAACATTTTTTTACGATATGAGACGTAACATTACTGTAAAATGTATTTTTTTTTATAGACCCCCCTCCGCCCCTGATGTCTGGAACAATTACAGTGTTTGAAGCAAGTTCTGCCAACGTCTCCTTCCCGTTCTCCTCTAATCCTCCACTTCTTCTGTATAAGTGGAGGAAGGAAGGTCTGGACTCCAACTTTACCACGACCTTGAATCCACCTGCCATAACCAACATTGGGCGGTCAGATGCCGGGACCTATGTCATCACAGCTACAAATATAATGAATGATTCACAAGCTGGTCTAGTGGAAGGTCATGGGATGCAACTTATTTCATTAAATGTACTTTGTAAGTATATTTGGTCTGTTAGGTGAACTTGAGGGACACCGAAAATGTGGGTCAGAATTCCCCCGTATGTCATTGTTCATGCCCAGACAACAGCTGGTAGGCGGACAGTGAGTGTTTAAGTTTTGGAGAAATATGTATGACGTTCAACCGATAGCATGGATATTCCTCTAAAGTAATCAATAAAATAAAAATCAAACCCTTATAGTTTAACGGCCAACCCCTTCCGACAGGAGTAATTATTCAAATTGTTTTATGTTGTTTTATTACAGAGAATAAATCAGATTTCCCATCGAACAGATCAGATGGAAGATTCCTCACCAAATCATGGTTTTTTGTGTATTCTGTTGTTCATGGAGACTGTAGTAGAGTTGCTGTATCATGTTTCAGATCCTCCTGAAGTGTTCTGTCAGAAAGATGTAAGTGTGCTTCTCAAATCATCGTTTGACCTGACATGCGCAGTGTCAGCGTCCCCCCTCCCTGAGGATGTGACGTGGACAAGGGTATCTACCCCAGCCTCCACAATTTCCCCCGAGCCTGCACACAAATATTCCACCCCGTCTGGATCTGGTGAAATGGAGATTATTCAGGTTGATAATGCTGAAGACACAGATGAAGGTTCAGGGGATGATTTGGAGGGACGATTTTCTCGGATGGAATCTAATACATCCATAAACTCAGGAACAGAAGTGAACGAACTCAAGCTTGTCTTAAGCTCTATGAATACATCACGTCTGGGTGGGATTCCAGAGTCTTCATGTGAAGTGAAATGTGGATTAAGTGCAGAGAAGGGCAAAACTGGAACATACCACGTCCAAAGTGCTGCCACTACTGATGCTGGGGTCTACCTGTGTACAGCTGTGAACACCATGGAACGCACAGGAAGGAGGGAAACAGGGACAGGATCATGTATAACGAACGTGAATGTTCTCTGTGAGTGATGACTCTCCGGGCGGACGCTCTAACCACTACACCACGGAGGCGATCCAAGGTATGTCCAATATGTACATGGCAGGTTATCGCGGGTGTATGCCTGTTGCAGTTATAATACATCCGTGACTCCATTAAAAATTGAGGAAATAACATATAGAAATTAACAATTGCTTTAAGATGTTACGTTTTGAAGAACAGCCCCTCGTACATATGATTTAATTTTCTTTAAAAATATTACAATTGTTTATAAATGATACTAAGTGAGCGTGTATCATCCAAGAACGTATTGTTTTGTTACTGCATGTTGACAATACATCTGTGCCTGCTATAGCTAGGTATTCTGATTTTCACTCAACATTAGGTGTAAACATGTTTAGAATCAAATATTGTTTATGATGACATGAATGTGAAGGCAACCAACATGTAGTCAATAAAGTGTACAAATCATTTATGTTTACAACACTACCAACAGAATCATCATTATAGAGATTGGAATTTGGTATGAATATATTGTTTGTGATTATATGTTTATAATTGTATTTCAAAATTGTATTATGATATGCGGATGATGATCGATATAATTCGTCTGTGACTGTATATTTTACAATTCTTTTATCATTGTTTCACGTCTTTTAGTAATATACCTACGAAATATTTGTGATGATGAAAAAAAATCAATATATGTGCAGGAAATTCACACTTTGCACACATTTCCCATAATGCCGTACATTTTACCTACCCGCTGTACTGAAATCCATGTACATAACCTAATCAGCGGTAATTTGTATACGTATACAATAAAAGAAAATACGTCTGGCTTAAAATTGATATTCAATCATCTAGAGCAATAAAACGTCAGCAGAACGACAAAACAGGATATGAAATGATCTATCTGTTGATGCCACCTCCTCGCATCGATACAGGTGATTCACTATTGCAATATAGGCAGTCATGATCAGCTGTGATGTATCATGGAATCACTAGATACATCATTGTATAGGGGGAATGATGTACTGTCTATATACCAGCGTGAACGTTACCCATAAAGTAGAAGGTTATACAGGATAACCTTCTCTAAGTAGCACGTACTTCTCGGATGGCGCGTCTGTATCAGATCAACTAGCAGGATAGTGAAGAGAAGATATAATCGAAAAAGATCGGCCGTATTAACGTTAATTAAAAATGACTATCTTCGTAGTCTAGTGGACAAAGTGAAAAGAGCGGAAGGTCGGTGATAGCGAAGAGAAGATATAATCGAAAAAGATGGGCCGTATTAACGTTAATTAAAAATGACTATCTTCGTAGTCTAGTGGACAAAGTGAAAAGAGCGAAAGGTCGGTGGTTCGATGCCTTTCTTTCACGCTAAAGACAGGCTAAAGATGGTGCTTGTTGGTACCCTGGCTCGGTGTCTGCTGGGGGCCAGTGTACAGTGTCCGAGGTGCGTGTGCGCATCTTATCTTCGCGGGTGTACTGTAATGCAAACACGGACACACACTTGCACGCACGCACGCACGTGTAAATGCGCAATAATCTTGAACGTGTGGTTAAGCGTCATTTCATCCCTAAGAACAATCAAGCGTGCCCACCGCTTAGCCATACAACTTCGTAACTGTCAAAGTCAAAGATATTTATTGTAATTAGGCCTCCGACCTATATACAAGTAATACAAGGATATATACAGCACTTGTTACAGACATTTCACAAAAGAAATTACTGTTCAGGTAAGATATTGCTTCTACGGATAACAGAATGTTTTACATAAAGCGCTGGATTACGTTTTACATTTTCATTTTTGAGGATAGAATGAAACAAAGGCAGTTGAAGGATATTTTAACAGATAATTATTATTATGATCGTTTGTTTAACAACTTTTCTACTCGGGTTTCCAAAATTATGAGACAAATCATCAGAGTTGGTCTGTCGATTTCATGTGACTGTGCTAAATTTCGTTCTGCTGCAGTTATTAGATTTCGTGTTAGTGAGCAATGCACCGGTCTCAAATGAAATCAAACGGACTGTAGTTCTGGTGTGAATTAAGCTCTTATATTATGATCTATACAACTGATATTTTGAACTATTGTCTATACAGGAATGCCATTCTTGATAATACATGCTAACAGATTGTTCTTGAAATTGCTTAAGAAATAGGTTAATATTACCAACTGTTTGATTTAGCCACACAAATCCAAACACATGAGAAAATAACAGATTTCTAATATGAGACGCCCATCATGACTTACCCCTATCATCTAAATGTACAAGCATGCTATAAGTTAGTTTTGGAATTCTTTGTTCGTGCATTCCAAGGATTTAACCAATATTTTAACCATCTGATTCGTGAATTTATATATATCGGATATCTACCGCATTCTCCATAAACCATACAAGTTGGTGTTGCTTGCGCTATATTTAAAGATCTTTTACATGCTAAAAGGTGTAGGTTCTCTAGACATTCATGACGTTGAAATCCCCAAATTTCAAACCCATAAAGCATAATCGGTTGGATTTGTGAATCATACAATTTGAAACTTTCCGGGTTAAAATTCTTTTTTTTCAACTGTCGTGGAATTTAGGATTGTTTCTATATAGAAAACCAATATTGTGTCCAAGAAATGGATGTTATGTCCCCCGTGGCGATTCCTGGTCAGTACGACCCGTGAAGATCCGGGGTAGAATAGGTCTTCAGCAACCCATGCATGCCACAAAAGGCCACTATGCTTGTCGTAAGAGGCGACTAACGGGATCGGGTTGTCAGGCTCGCTGACTTGGTTGACACATGTCATCGGTTCCCAATTGCGCAGATCGATACTCATGCTGTTGATCACTGGATTTTTCGATTATTTGATGGGCTCGTCTGCGTGTATAGGGACTCGTTAGATTCGCCTGTTTGCTGTTCACCACCGTGATGAGCTGCCTAGCTATGGGACGACAAACCAGTGATTGATATCATGAACACCACTGCACGACGGTTACGATAGCACATAATCCATATAATCCACCACCCGACGGTCAAATATAACCCGGAATCCCAAATGGGGAGAGACGCGAGAATCTGTGGAAGAATCACATGAAGAATACCCATATTTTGCTGAAGTGATGTATTTGTTTTGACTGTAGCCGACCCTGCCTTGATTCGGCTTGTACCAGGAACCTATGCTGGTCGCCTGGAGATCTACCATAGAGGAGAATGGGGCACAGTCTGTGATGATGGGTTTGACATGAATGACGCTAAAGTTGTCTGCAGAGCATTTGGCCTTAACGCGTAATGTACCTTATGAATTGTGATCGAGCATTGTATCTATTAAGCTACAGTATGTGTGTAATGCAGGAGGTTTTCTTTTTTGCAAGTGTAATATTGTGTAATTTTAAAATGTAATCGTTGTGACATCAAGTCAGTATTCTAGAATATTCTTTTTGAAAATCCGTGTGTGTTTAATATTCACTCCATGCAAATATTTCATAACAGTAATGATAATAATAATAATAATAATGAACTTGTTTCTTTGTTGGAGTTGGTGATTGGACAAAACAAGACATCCAGAGTCTTGACCGTCTGACCAGAAGGATCATGTCTGATAACAGAGCCCACCACCCTCGTTCCTCTCTTAACCGTTTATACATGCCAATCAATTCTGGAGGTCGGGGTCGGATTAATGTGGAGGCTCTTCATGATAGAATTGTATTGTGTACTTTTGCACATATTTATTTATCGGATGATCCTCTGGTAATGCATGTCAAGACTCATGGTGAAAGCAATTTATTCCACAGCTATTTTAAGCGTGCCAAGGTTGTTGGACAGAATCTGAAATTTGAGGTTGATTATGTTGATGGCGATATACTGCTGGACGGTACAGCAATGGGAGTGGACCAGGTGAAGTCCTTCACCACGTCTCCTCGAGTCGGTCTTTTGTGGAGAAGCTTTCTGAGAAGCCATTGCGTCGTGTGTACATGCAGTGTGTGGAACAGAATAGTTATCCCACCGACTCCTTCGCCTGGATGAAGTCGGCTGGTCTCAAATGTGAAACTGAGGGCTTCCTTTTTGCTGGTCAGGACCAGTCACTTCCCACTCGCAATCGCCTTAATGTGATTCTTAAAGAAAATATTAACATGAAATGCCAACTGTGTAATGAATATACAGAGACTGTCCAACACCTTGTCAGTGGATGCCCTTCCTTGGCACAAACAGCATATCTTAAGTGACATGATGGCATGGCTCGCTGCTTTTATTACCGTCTTCACCATGCCTCTGGCTTTGACTCTGAGGTCCATCCATGGTACGACCCTGAACATGTCCAGGGTGTCATGGAAAATGATACTTTCAAACTTCTGTGGAATAGGCCCTGCCCTTGTGATCGTTCAAAAAAATTAAACGGCTATTGAAACGCATAGCATGCCAGGGCTCACGTCTGCACAACGTCGTGAGACCATTGGGATGGTCCGTGGGGGAATGTCTCAACGACAAGTGGCTGCACATTTCCACTGCCACCGGAACACCATTTCTGCACTGTTGAGACGTTACCAGAACACAAATGACGTTGGCCACGTTCTGGACGTCCACGTGTAACAACGCCAAGACAGGACAGATGGATAAGGGAGACCCATCTTCGCCACAGGTTTCAGACTGCAGTGATGACTGGCCGAACCATCCCAGGACTTCACCGTATCCACCCCAACACAGTTCGACAACGTTTACGTCATCACGGGATCAGACCACGACGTCCCGCCATACGGCCTATCCTGACACAACGTCATCGACAAGCTCGCCGAATGTGGTGCCGAAATCATGTCCGCAGACCCTTCTTTTGGTGGAGAAATGTTGTTTTCACAGATGAGTCCAGGTTTAACATTTCCCATAGTGATGGACGTCAACGTGCCTATAGACGCGTGGGAAAACGTTATGCACAGGCCTGTGTCTTGGAGAGGAATCCCTTTGGTGGTGGTTCCGTGATGATTTGGGGTGGAATAACAGCACGCCAAAGAACTCCTTTGGTGATTGTTCAGGGCAACTTAACTGGTGTGGGCTACAGGGATCAGATTCTTCGACCTGTGGCAATTCCTTTTCTGCAACGTCATGGCCCTGGGTTAACATTCCAACAGGACAATGCCCGCCCTCATACGGCAAGGGGGTTGCTATGGATTTCTTGCAACACCACAACGTTGACTTACTGCCTTGGCCTGCAAATTCACCGGATCTCTCCCCGATAGAGCATGTTTGGGACGAGATGGATCGACGTCTACGCCGTCTTCCTCATCCGCCAGATAACGTCCTTGACCTTGCAACAGAACTTGTAAGAATCTGGCGTGACATCCCACAAGCCTTCCTTGCACGTTTGATAGGCTCTATGCCTCGTCGATGTACTGCTGTTCTCAATGCCGATGGTGGACATACCCGTTATTGAGCTTGTGACATGGTCGTTTGACCCCTGTCCCGCTTGTGGACTCGTGACGTCATTGTGATTGACTTTTCAATTGAAATTCTCCCGACTTGTTATGGTCTCATGATCCCTCCATTAAAGTTTATATGTACCTTTGACATTGTTATCGTCCTTATCAAGTGGGATAATATTTTGACAATGCACAGTTTCTTTATGTGGATAGTATAGATAAAATGGCTTTGCACAGGAATTATTTTTTTAAAGAATTCAGACGAGGAGAGATCAAGTTGACCTGGAGTGCCCTCAGATGAGAGTATTATTTACCACATGATGATCAGGGCATTTTAACTGCATTTGGGAAATTTAAGAAAAATGTATATAATTTTGCACGTCAGAATGAACGCTCAGGGTGGGTGGAAAATGGACAACACAGAAAACTATACTGAGGGTCTTAATATTGTCTATTTTTAAACTTATTCTATCTGACGGTATGCACCTCTCTCTTCTTCTTTGACCGATATGTGGAAACGTGCTGTAGGCTGGGTTGAATCAAATCCTTCGGCCTCTGTACCACCTGACCTCTGCCCTCAAATGTGAATCTGAATCATCTCTACAAGCGTGTCGCTCAGATGCACGTGACGTCCCATTACTGTCATTCTCTTTCCTGTCGCCCACTGCTGTGGACCTGTGTTATGCTCTGTCTGCCACTGCTGTGGACCCTGTGTGTTACTGCTGTGGACCTGTGTTATGCTCTGTCTGCCACTGCTGTGGACCTGTGTTATGCTCTGTCTGCCACTGCTGTGGACCTGTGTTATGCTCTGTCGCCCACTGCTGTGGACCTGTGTTATGCTCTGTCTGCCACTGCTGTGGACCTGTGTTATGCTCTGTCTGCCACTGCTGTGGACCTGTGTTATGCTCTGTCTGCCACTGCTGTGGACCTGTGTTGGGAAGTGTGTTATGCTCTGTCTGCCATGCTCTGTCTGCCACTGCTGTGGACCTGTGTTATGCTGTGGACCTCTGTCTCTGTCTGCCACTGCTGTGGACCTGTGTTATGCTCTGTCTGCCACTGCTGTGGACCTGTGTTATGCTCTCTGTCTGCCATGCTCTGCTGTGGACCTGTGTTATGCTCTGTCTGCCACTGCTGTGGACCTGTTATGCTCTGTCTGCCATGCTGTGGACCTGTCTGCCACTGCTGTGGACCTGTGTTATGCTGTCTGTCTGCCACTGCTGTGGACCTGTGTGTGTTATGCTCTGTCTGCCACTGCTGTGGACCTGTGTTATGCTCTGTCTGCCACTGCTGTGGACCTGTGTTATGCTCTGTCTGCCACTGCTGTGGACCTGTGTTATGCTCTGTCTGCCACTGCTGTGGACCTGTGTTATGCTCTGTCTGCCACTGCTGTGGACCTGTGTTATGCTCTGTCTGCCACTGCTGTGGACCTGTGTGTGGACCTGTGCTCTCTGTCTGCCACTGCTGTGGACCTGTGTTATGCTCTGTCTGCCCCTGTGTTCCACTGCTGTGGACCTGTGTTATGCTCTGTCTGCCACTGCTGTGGACCTGTGTTATGCTCTGTCTGCCACTGCTGTGGACCTGTGTTATGCTCTGTCTGCCACTGCTGTGGACCTGTGTTATGCTCTGTCTGCCACTGCTGTGGACCTGTGTTATGCTCTGTCTGCCACTCGTTACTACTTTTGCTCTGTCACCACTCGAGGAATCACGAGGAAAGTAATCGACCTTCCCGGAAGAGATAACACTGTGAAATTACAGAAGTTTTTTTTTTTCCTGCCGCTGATCCTCACAGACTGTGCGTTGATTGTATCGGATGGTGTGACCGGCCTCACCGTTGTTCTTATTGTGCCAAATTTGGATGATGAAGCGTTCTCTGTTATCGTGGAATGGGCACAAGAAGAGTGGCAGACAGGGATCGTCAGGGGCTTTCCGAGGGTCCATCCTCATTTCAACATTCGAAGCGAGATCGTCCGTACCAAACAGCTCGCCGTTCATCACTATCACCAGATGAAGATTTCTTGATGCAGCATTAGATTCCTACCTTGGCGAGAATTCCGTTGGTTATTCCGACCCCAGACTTCGAGTCAAGGACGGGACAGGATGACTCCCCCACTTTGGTAGTGAACTTCATACTTCGCAGTCTGTATGAGTGGAGGGTTCACTCCAGTGCATCGCTCTCACACAATTCAACGCTCCAGAGCGGCTCTACTGCAGTACACTTCTGTTTGGTTCGTCACTGCAGGCCAAAGCGACGTTTCAGGTCGGTCTGGCACTTTGTACCAGTGCGTCGCTCTCACATAGTGAAGAAGAGGCCAGTGCACCGTTTCACTTCAGTTCACCTCTCTCGTTCGGTCCAACTCATTAGCCAAGTGCGCTGCTTTCCATTGGATCAGCTTTTTAGTCAGTACACGCTTACTGTATGGTACGGCGTTTTAAACGACTGCACCAGTCCCGGTTGATTCAGTGCTTTAGATCACTTGACCGAACCGGATCACAGTACCGTAACAGATGACCTTTCGATCCAGATCGTCGAACCAACTTAGATCTCAGAACTGATCCTGGTAGCCGAACCATACTAGATCGCCGCTCCAACAGTATTCGCAATCCGACAGTGTTCGCCGAACTGTCAGCATTCACCGAAGCATCTGATTACCTTTACGCGCCTACTGTCTACGGGACTTTGTTTGCTAGTTCGCAAACTACATTACCTACAGTGACTTTTTCTACTGTGAGTTTACCTTCAACAATTTTGGCGTTGATATCTCAATCTACAGTTTCTACCGATGTTCAGCTTCGTTTGGGGTTAGTTAGCCTTCCTGCTTCTGCGGTGCCTAGGTGTACAGACAGAGTGTTCAGTCCAATGCGGTGCTTTTATTCAGTTCGA